ATAAAACTGAAACCATAGGAATTAGATCCTACCTTCTAGTAAAATTCCTCAATATTGACCTGGAATATATAGCTAGTGCATTTGGATTAGATAATGTCGGCTTAGCCAATGAAAATCAAACGGTAGGTACTCCTTATAAAAGAAAAGGAGAGTGCGAGTTATTAGATCTTCATGATCATTTTCTTTATCTGATGATCTCTTGGTGGTTTCAACCATCCAGAGGAAACTACTCCACTCTTAGAGCCTTAGATCTTTGGTGGTTATATTGTATCCAAAACAATAATAAAATAAGCCTACCTAAGATTATTTTTGCCGAAATTATCGAAATCGTAAACCTTGTCCCTAATAAGAAACTATGTTCATCTCTAGTTTACAGTTGTATTCTAAGTAATCTGTTTGCCAAAGCCGAACTTAGGGTAAGCCTTGATGCCGCTATACCTCTCAAAAATCAAATTAACCTCTTTTCTTTAACAAAATCAGGATGGACAAAGGATAAGAAAATTGGACAATGGGTTCGATCTTCTGAGCATATACTAGGAGCTAGTTCTTCAAGAGCTCCATAGGCACCAGGAGCGGACGATGATCATGAGCTTCAACAGCTTATGCAAGACATTGACGACGTCCCCAACTATGAGTCGGAGCAGTACGAGGAATAAGCACAGCAAGAAGATCAAGTGCCTCCATATTTCTGATCATTTATGGAGAATCTTGATATGAGGTTTGCATCCATCGAATCACATCTGACTACTAACAACGAAACGATGAATCATCGTTTCAACACTTTGGACGAAAGGGTTGATGCACTTTCACGTGATGTGGCCAATATTTGGACACATTTATCTCCTCTTAATCCACCGATGGATGATTAGATCATGTTTCTTACTTAGCTTTATTAGATACAACTTCAAACTTATTGTTTTAACCTTTTGATGCTTATGGATGTTTAAATTTGTTTGGATGTTTGAACATATTTATATATATTTGTTTTGGCTTATATTTTCATTTTTTGCATCATTTACATCATTTTAGATATATGACCAAATTTGTCATTTCACATTCGTTTATGAATATTGAATTATGAAACTAATGGCTAACATTTTCTCTTGATTGTGATCTTAGCAGCTTACGTTTTATAAATCTATCAATTGGCTTAAATTTCAAAAACCTTATTTAAAACCGTTTTAGAGTTTTTTTGATTTAACAAAAAGGGGGAGAAGTATTAGAGTAAGGGGGAGTAATTTTTCAAAACTTGATTTCAAACATTATTTTCAATTAGAAAATCTTAAAATTACTAAAATGTTTTGTTATATCAAAAAGGGGGAGATTGTTGAAAACATTTTGATGTTTCGATATAACAAATTAAATGTTATTAGATTTCAAGATTTTCTAATCATTTTCAAAATATATATTTGATCAAACTATTCGATATCAAATTATTACTCCAAGTTTTTCAAATGTCAATTTCAATCCTTACTCAAGTGTAAAAGTATGTTTTAAATCTTTTAAACAATTTTACAAAGTATTTTGAGCCTTAACCGAGACAAAAGCATTTTCTTAATAAATCTTAAACTGAAAAACCAGATTTCCCAGAGGGTACCGATACCCCCCACGAGGGTACCGATACCCCATGTAAGATTTGGCTCCAAGAAATAACAGATTACTCAGAGGGTACCGATACCCCCAAGAGGGTACCAATACCCCCATGTAAGATTTGGCTCAGAGAAATAATAGATTTCTCGAAGGGTACCGATACCCCCCAGGAGGTACCGATACCCCCATCTTATAACGATCGAAATATTTGAATTTTACACAGCAGGGAACCGATAGCCTATGCAGGGGTACCGATACCCCCCAACGCTCTAAATTGTTTTATTAATTATTTTCACACACTAAAGGCTCTATTAACTCCACTAATGATCCCCAACGTTCAGAAATGATCTAAGGAGTATTTAAACAAGCTTAGAAGCCATTGATCAATAACAAGAAACAACAATCAACAAGAATCAAGAGAGAATCAAAGAGAAAGCATCAAACCTCAAGTTTGAGCATTTTCAAGCCTATTTCATTCAATATTCATTTTTGCTTTCAAGAACACTTATTGTGCTCAATTGTATTATTCTTGAGTGTTATTTCTTTGGTCTAGAATTGTGCAAACATCTTGCATTGTGAGGATTTTCTTGTAAGTTTGCAAAATTTGTATTGTTCCCTTTGGGAGAGAGTGTTCTCAAGAATTTGGAGTATAATTCTTGAGGGATTTGTAAGGTTACTCTTTGTCCTCAAAAGAAAGACAAATTAGTGAATTTGTGGAAAATCCTTAGTGTGGATAGCTAAGGTAGTGGACGTAGACTTTGGTTGAGAAAGTCGAACCACTCTAAATCGCGGTGCAAATATTTTCAATTTTCTACAATAGCTTCCACCTAAATTTTTATTGCCAATGCACCCCCTCTTGGCCTATTCCGTCGATCGATTAACTCAACAAAAGAACATTCGAGTTCCTAGGAACACACTTGGCGAGATAGCCTTGCCAAGAGGGAATTTAGATCGAAATTAGTAGTTATTGAAACAACAATCTGATTCGGTCTTCACGAACTTAAACGGTTATTGATCTACGACAATTGATGTTGATCAGATCAATTTTTGAAGCCGGAATCAAAGATTATATTGGGTATTCGGTATATAAAATAGAGTCACAAGGATTTCCCTTGTAGACAAAGTAACCGACGTGAATCTCGAAGGGAAAATCTAATTTGATGATCCGAAAGAAATTGAGTCAAAGCGAGTCTTGAGGTTGTTTTAACATATTCATTTTCAACCTTCAATTTTTTTTTCTTTTTTTTTCTTTAAATCGTTTTTTATTATTTAATCTCTTTTTACCAAAACCCCCTTTTTTACTTCTTATCGCCTGGTTTAAACCATTCAAACAGAAATTTGGAATTTTCTAAGTCCCTGAAGATCGACCCTTACTTCTCTTTACTACGTATTTCCTTTATTTATTAATTGAGAAGAAGGGATTTATTTTGACATCAAAACTACAGTTGTCAGAGTTGGTATCATGTTAAGTGAAACCCTAAAAATGATCACACCTAAAATTTGGTGACGAAGAAAAAAATATTTGTCTATTTAAATTCATCGAGAAATGTCTATTAGAATGCATAAAAGGTTTGATCTCAACGTCTTTAAATAATTGTACATACTTCTTATCTCTAAAAGGATAGGTAATTTATAATTAATTGGTTCTTCTTATTCTTATCCATGCATGCATTCAGAATTTGGATCAATAGTTAATTTTTTAATGGAATAGTGATATTTTTTTTCGTTTCAATTGGAAAACGAATTGGTTGCTTTAAGGCATGAGAGGTATTTTCTTTTCGATGGAAAACAACTAAATATTACTATCTTCCCTTCCTAAATTCAAGGGCTAATATTTTTATGCGGTTTAGAAAAACGATCTCAAGTTAAATTAAATTTGAATTTGTAAGTTTTATTGTAAAGACAACTAATTAATCAACTAGGTATCGAAGGGTGTTGTGGGGTGCTAGCCTTTCCCCACGCATAATCAAATCCCGAACTTAATTTTTGGTACGCATACCATAAAATGTTGTTTTAATAATTTTTAAATTAAATTTCACTAAAATGACAAAACATTTTGGGTACCCAATCACACCCTAACCAAATATTGGTAGCTACTCCTCAAACCATTTTTTATTTTAAAAAAAAAAACTCCCAATTAGTCGAGGCGAGCTCTTAAATCTTCCGATTTTTAGATCGTTTCGACACAAATATACCGCTATTTAGCAGGATCACTTGAGTACGGATTGATGTTCACTGCCTCTAGTCATAAAATGAGTATTGAGCATATGTTGATGCTGGCTAGGGAAGCAAATTAGATTACAAGAGGTACATAACAGGTTATGGTGTGTATCTTGAGAGTTGTCTAGTAGCGTGGAGCTCCAAAAAATAGAAATATATCACTCAATCAACTACGGAAGCTGAATACAGGAGTATAGCTGACTTAGTATCTGAAGTAACCTGGATCGAAGCAATATTGACAGATATGGGGTGTCAGTCGAGTCAAGCTCCAGTTGTGTGGAGCAATAACAATTGCCTGGTTGCCATGTCAGCTAATCTTGTGTATCCTTCGTGTTCTAAACATGTAGAGCTAGATGTTCACTTCATTCGCGAAAGAATGGTTGAAGAAAAACTACAAGTTAACTATGTTCCCGCTTCACATTAAGCTGTTGATGGATTAACAAAGCCTTTATCTAAATCTTGTCTCAGTTTGTTTCGAGAAAAAGTTGGGTGTGGTCACAACTGAATAAGTTCAGACTTTGACTTAATGAGGAGGAGGAAGAGTAGGAAGTATGTCGTCTGGATCAAAATTTGTTTGACGAGTAGGGGAAATGTTGAATATTGCAGTCTGTTGGTATTGTACCTGCTTGAAGTTCCTTGGCTGTTAGGCGGTTAGAACGATTTGTTGGTGGTTAGGTCGTTGGGTCGTTTTGACAACCTTTTTGACTCTAACGAATTTGTTCAACTTGGTTACCAATAGGTTAAAGTGTTGGGCTGTAAAAAGACTAAAGGCCTTCATTGACTCTTAGAGTTTTTAGCCACATTTCTATATCTTTAAATACTAAATGTTCTCTCTTTTCATAAGCTTAGTTTATTTTTCTTCTTTCGTGATTTGCTCAGGCAAAGCTTAGTTAAAGTATTGAAGAAGGTCTACAATGGCCAGATTGCTCATCATGGTTTAAAATTTATTAATTCTATATAAAAATATAATTAGATGAATTTAAATGAACGATTGATGTTAAAATAAATTATTTATTTTTGTGTAAAGATTAAAGAAGAAAGTCAGCCATCACTTTGAAATAGTGCAAGTGAATTCTATAATTTTATACAAAATATATAAAAGTAAAAGCATTAGTGGATGATGATTTGTGGAATGGATAGCAAGGGCGTGTGGCTCTTAGCACTCTATTATCCTATCCTGTCCACACAACCTGAACAACACCAAAGCAGCCACGCCACCTCACTCAGCTCAACCAATAACTTAAAGCACTCAAATCCATTTCTGTTTCCTGTTTTCTCTTCCACTGCCAATTGTTCAACCATGTCATCAGCCGTGATTGCAGGAGCTGCTGCCTCTTCGGCCGCCTTCACCAGCAGGAAGAACTACTCCATTAAAACCTCCCCAGCCCCTTCTCCAAAGACCTTGGCTACTTCCCAGGTACGACTGTTTGTCATCTCAAACTGATTTCACTCCAATACCCTATTGAATAAGAAGCCTCCCTTCTTTGCCCATGCATATTTAGAAAACATCCCTCCAAGGCTTGTCTCTCCAAGAGGCCAAAAGGGGAGTCTCAGATTTCTTCCTACCTGAGAAAAACAACAGTTCTAGTCCCACTCATGCAAGGAAAGGACTCGAGATCACTGCAAAAACTGCCGGTGCTTCAAAAACTATAGAGGTTGAGGTTGACAAGCCTTTGGGCTTGACATTGGGTCAGAAGACAGGAGGCGGTGTAGTTATCACTGTAAGTTTCTTTCAAAGCTCCTCTCATCATGGATGTGACAATGTTTTTCTTTTTTCTTTTTTTTTTTGTCCCAATTCAATGTTTTATTTGAAACGAAACGGTTGCAGGCAGTTGATGGTGGTGGGAATGCAGCGAAAGCAGGGCTTAAGGCAGGTGATCAAGTGCTTTACACTAGCAGTTTCTTTGGGGATGAACTTTGGCCTGCAGATAAGCTCGGGTTCACTAAAACTGCCATACAGGCAAAGCCAGATTCCGTATATTTTGTTGTTAGCAGGTTTGCCTTTTTATCTTTTTAGTTTTTACTTCCTTTCATTGATTTCGATAAAAATTAAAGTTCAGTGATAATTGATAAAATTGAAAGTTTAGTGGTATAAATGATACAATATTTAAAGTTTTATAGTTTGGTGGTATCTAATGTAATTTATTCTAGTTTTTATTTCCTTTCGTTGATTTAGTTTCATGATATTGATGAATTGTTTTGAGGAAAATTTGTTGAAGATGTAGTAATATATGATCTTCCTTTTCATTTTTTTTTGGTTGTATCCGTTACAGATGTGACCTAATTTCTTCTTGGACTAAATCATTATGTTTCAATAAAGATAGTGGTAAAACTGTAATCCATTTGATCTCTATAAATAGAAAGCAGTGATTAGAGTTTTTTACGAGGTTTACATTGAACAAATCTTGTACTCTTTTGACTTAGTGAAAAAAATTTCTCTTCTGCCTGTGGTTTTTCTGTTTAGATTTTCCACGTAAATCTTATTGTTCTTCATTTTTCTATTCGATCACTTTTCGTTTGTCAATTATCGTTCTATTATAACATATCCCAAAAAAATAGCTATTTGGTTGTACCTTGTTACGGGAACACAACAACATGATGTGTTAAATTAGCCTTGAGAATTCAACAAAAAATGCCATCTACCAGTTATCCTATTGGTTTGATGATGTTAAACGACTACCGAAACGGCCAGCGCCACCGCGCTTCGGAAGGAAACTGACCGAGGCTCAAAAGGCAAACATAGCTTAATTTCGTCAACTACCATCATACTTCACTTTTACTTGCATTTGTGTATTTATTGGATGAGATTATGTAGCAAATGCAAAAAGTACTAACGGAATGCAGAATGTTGCAGGCAAGAGCTACTCATATTTGCCTTGATTGCGGATTCATATACACTCTACAGAAACCTTTTGATGAGCAGGCAAGTTTCTAACCTTTTGGTTAAATTAATTGTGTTTACCTCATATATTATATATCCCACATGTTTCATTCAATATTTATGTTCCAGGGGATTACTGATTCACTCATGGTCATGAGAATTTATCATCTTTAATATGTATGCTGCAGCCTGATACGTATGCATGCCCGCAATGTCGAGCACCGAAGAAGAGATTCACACCATATGACGTAAATACCGGCAAAGCTATCGGCGGAGGGTTGCCTCCGATTGGGGTCATTATCGGGCTGCTGGCCGGTGTTGGAGCTGTTGGAGCTTTGCTTGTTTATGGCCTTCAGTGAATGTTTATAATGTGTATCTCATTTCATTTTCAAACATATGGATTAAGGACCAAAATCTGCCTAGAGCTGCTTTCATGAATAACCATACCGACCAATCCAATTTTTAAGTTTATTTACTTAATTTTTAAAATCTGCCTAACTCTTCGTATCTGGGAGATTTCAATGTCAAAGAGAGTTATCCTTAAACATATATTGTTTTGTATTTATCATTAATAAAAAAATAAAATCTGCCTAACTCTTCATATTTTTTGGTTTCGATTCAACCAAACCGTGACGGTTCAAATATAACAATAATCTGGTTTCATTTTGTCACCTTGTATTGTTTATTAAGCATAACGATGTGAAATTGGAAAAATAGATTCTCTTTCCAATTGAAGAATTTTACTCTTTGTTTATTGTTAAATGGTTGGAAATGATTCAGAATCTCCTAATATTTATTGTTAAATTATTGAGAATCTTTCGAACATATATTACATTGTAATCCTCATACTAAAAAAAAGAACTTTTTTATTTTTATTTTAACTTAAGATTAGCTTTCAAACCGTTGGAAGAGGTAACGTGGTTGTATAATATGAAATGTGATATTATTTGACATTTTAAAAAAAATTATGTGAACTTATAAAAATTCCTTTAAAATAATTTTTTTTAAAATATAATAATCTTTAAAATTTATAAAAAAATGAAAGATATATAAAAATTAAGCAAAATGCTCACATATTGTGATGAAAAAAAATCCGTGTAGGGTGTGGATGAAATTAATTTTTAATTTAATGTGATTATTATAGTATTCGTTGAAAGACGTCTGGTTAATACGATTTTTTTGGAAGACGTTCAAATGACATGCCGTCTTCTCCTTAACTGCATGTATACCTGAAAGTTTGTAGCGTTTCAATCTTGTCAAAGACGCTCTATTGTCCGAACATCTTCCTGAAGACGTTGTGTGATCCGAAAATCTGATACTATAACGACCACACTAATCAGAAAATAATTCTCTTGAAACCTAAATCAATTTTTTCATCACATTATTAAAAACAATGGTCATGGAATTTTTTTTAGAAAAAAAAAACAGTAACCCGTTTTACGCCAACTAACTCAAAAGTTCTAGTAAATTTTAATAAATCCAAATCAATTTCCCTACGCTATTCTTAATAAACAATAAAAGATACACAAAAAAACTACCAATTGTGAAATAAATTTAAAATGAAAAAAAATCTATATTCTACTTTTTTTTGGGGTACATATCTATATTCTACTATTTATCTTATATTTACATTATTATTTTGTACATGTTTAATAATTTGAAGGAAAAATCAAATGTTCAAAAATTAAATACTAAAAAAATTAAATTTAAAAGAGTAAATTATATGAGTGATCTCTTATGTTTTCGATCCGTTTGATTTTGATCATCGGTTCAAAAAAAGAACGGTTTTAGTTTCTTATGTTATCGGTCCGTTTGATTTTGATCATCAATCTCTAACCCCCGTTAATTTATTAGTGAAAGTCTGAGTTGACAATTAAAAAATAAAACAAAAAAAAATGTGTCTTCTTCTGTTTCTTCTACGATCATCGACTCATTGATGTTTGTCCGAAGAACTTTATTATTTTAAATCAGACCAAGAATTCATTTGGTTTGTTTAGCCATAACAAATATAATAATAATAAGGCTTAAATCCACCATTACCTCTTAAATTATACCTTTTGTACCGAGTTGTCCCTTAAAGTATTTGTCGAGATATTTCTCCGCTCGGCAACGGAGAGTGCAAATAGTACACCCCAAAAGTGTAACTAGTCTTGAAAAAGTGTTTATCCTCCTTGAATCAGATAAAACACCAAGTTGTAGAGTCGTCATCAATCTTTTAATTTGGTGAGATTGGTCACCAAAATTTCATATTATTTTAATAAAATTCCTAAGAATATTATTAAAATAATACAACTCGGGTCTGCTTACCAGAAAAATGAGTTCGGCAGTCGGTTAAGAATGGGGAAGGATTAGCACCCCATAACGCCCAAAATTAATACCGTTATTTATTAATTTAGTGTCATTACAATAAATTATAAATTTACTCTTTAAATTTACAAATAACTTAATATAGATAAATACTAAATATTTAATATAAATATTATTAATCATATTATAATATTTAATATTAAAACCATATCAAATTAATTTAATAAATTATGTATGATAATAATCCTAATAGTAAAAAATATTAATAGTAATTAACCATATAATAATTATAATTGATAATTAATACAGAAAATAACAATATTAACTATTATAATTCGAAATAATACTGAAATAATGTAATAATTATGTAATTTACCCTAAATTACTAATACATAACTAAAATATAAACTTATAAATATTTAAGGACTAAATATATAATTTAACCTAAATATATATATACAAATACATAGAATTGGTTGTCCAGCTCAGTTGGTAGAGCGCAAGGCTCGTAACCTTGTGGTAGTGGGATTGAGTCCCACGGTGGGTAAATCATAATTCTAACTACCGGAGGTCTCCCACGGAAGTTGCTCTCAACCTGGCGTTGGGGGCAGCCTACTATCCTACCTCCCCCTTACCTCATTACATATGGGAATAGGGTCTGTTAATTTTTAATATATACAAATATAACAGTGACTAAAATATAAATTAAAAAATTAAAAAATTAAAAAAACCGAATTGAAAAGAGTAAAAACTTGTTTTGTGACCATAATTGAATTTTACAAAACCTATAGGGACCCCGAAAGTGATTTGCCCACACGCTAATTACTCAGAAGCCCTTTCCCAAAACGACGTAGTTTTAGAGAGGGTATAAATAAATCCTAACTCAGGCATTAAGGCCATTTCTCACCATTTTCCTTCTTTTGCTTCTCTCTCTTAAAGAGAGAAGCTCTAACTTCTCTTTAGACTCCCTCACCGGGGGGGAGAGTAGACCACCGGTCGGCTACCGATCGCCACCGTCAACAGCCACTACTGACCACCGCTCATGGTGGTCGAAAAATACCAAAACACACCAAATCGAAGCCCAAGATATTCTAAACACAAATTTGGTCTCCTTTTTTCCTAAATCCCTACCAAAATTCGTAGATCTACGTAAATATCTTCATCTCTTAGACTTTTTGATGACGTCGAAGGTCCTCAGACGATGGTAAGCATTCCTTTTGACTTATCTACTGTTGTGGTTCTCTGTTTATTACTTGTTGCTCTCTTGTGTCTCTCGTTTCTTAGTCTCTCTCTGTTTCTTCTTGTATAGATTCTTGTTCTCTGTGTTGGTTTCCTTATAGGATCAAGATATTTATAGCCCTTAATTAGAGATCATCTGTAATGATGATGAAATCCAGTGAGTCACCGGACCTACGGTGGTGACTTACCATAGACCAATGCGTTGTACGGCTCATGTGTGGCCTCTGGAATCTTCGGGAGAGATCTGGAGAGGTGGCAGCGTTGTGGCACTCTTCAGTTGGAGCAGTTGGAGGTGGCGGCCGGAATAGGCCCTATGGTGGTAATGATACCCTAGGGTTCCTGTTAGATGGATGTTTCTGGCCCTTGGTTCTGCCTCTGATCGAACGGCTGAGGAAGAATGACGGCGCTGGAGAATAGGGGTGGGAATAGGCCAGGCCAGCCTATAGGGGCCTACGACCTGGCCTGCATAAAGCCTGGCATGGCCTGGCCTATTTAATAAAAAGGCCATGCTCAGGCTTTTTTAAAAGCCTATTAATTTAAATAGATCATGCTTAAGCTTATTAAAAAGCCTTATAAGCCTAATAGGTCGGCCTGTATATATACTTATATTATATTTTTGGGTACCAATATATATTGTCATTGCATTGAACAGAACACACGATATAATTAATATTTTTTTTTGAAACTAAAAGACTTTGATTACACTCCATAACTTCCATTCCATTACACACAGTATATATATATATGATTCCAGGTGAGTTTTTTTTAATAAGTGAGGAACTTTTACAAGAGTCCAAAAATTCCCCAACATCGAGGAACAAAAGGACTCAGAGTTGGTCCATAAAAATGAGTGGAGCCCCTTAATTCTCTCTTTTTAGTTTCCTTTCTGGTTATTGTCTAATATATTGATAGTGGAGGCCTAAATCTTGAGCCGAAAGCCTTACGACTGTGGCGTGGGGAACAACAAGTCAGCAAAGTATGGGAGCTGCTATCGAGCAGGGTGTTTGCATGGGGAACAACAAGGTATAGTCAAAATTTGGTTATTACACCCTTTATATTCCTCATTATTTTTATTGGCTTATTTTCCTATTCCTGATTCATTTTCCTATTACGTTTCTCTCTGTTGAAGTAAAATAGAGAACACAACTACCAAAAATTGCAAAGCAAACAAAAAAAGTATGTGAAGAAAGCTTTTAAACAGGCTATCAGGCCAGGCCAGGCTTTTGAAAAGGTCAGGCCAGACCGAAATAAAAGCCTTTGATAGGCTATAGGCCAGGCTCAGGCCTTTTAAAGCCTGGCCTGGCCTATTCCCACCGCTACTGGAGAAGCATGGAAACCATAGATGCTGATGGGTTTCTCGCAGGCCTACTGGAATTGGGCCTGAACTGGTTACTAGGCCTGAACTGGTTGCTGGGCTTGAATCAATTGTAAACTAAGTCTGGACCTAGCCCGAGTTGGGTTGTAATCGGGTCTACAATTGAATCTGTAACTTGGGCATGTGAGCCTTGCTTTGTAACCGGGCATTCGGGCTTTATAAATAATATAATAATTTTATTATATATATAATAAATATAAAAAACGTCACTCGGACGAAAACTATTGTCGACAGTATTTTTTCGGACTTTGTCCCCTAAAGTTTAAATCGTTATCTCATTTGTCCCAAATCGTTAACTCCATTAAAAAACACGTATGTAAATTACATATTTAGTCACTCAACTATTTATGTGGTTCTGTTTGGGTTTCCCAACTATTTTTTTTAAAAATCATCAATAAACTTAAGTTTTTGTTACATTTTGATCACCCAATTTGATTAAAATTTTTAAAAAAATTTAATATATAA